TGGAAGAAAGGGATGAATTTTGCTTCTTGCTCTGCCTACTAATATATTTTAACAGAGAGAATTACTGGTAGCTACAATTGGGAATTGTTACTTATACCAGAAAAACACTGCTGTTACAGGAATATACACAGTGCTTCTGGACATAAGGGCAAGAGATGAGATTTATTATATCAACTTTGTGTCTGCTAAGAGCCTTCCCTTTCCAGTTGTTCTATATTACTTAAACTGCACTGAGTGTACGGTTTGCTGGAACAACAAAAAATGCAGGTGGGGCTGAATGTCACATCCCAGAGGTTTTTCATGCAATTTCTGCCCCTCCTGATGAGGGCAAATTTGACACTTTGCCTTCCAGTTTTCTTTCTACAAAGACTAAGATGGAAACGGCAAATGAGTGGCTTGTTACTTCCTCTCAGTGTCTGTGGGACTGTGGCGCCAACAACACTGATGCAAAAGGAAACCCTTTTCATTAGTTGCTAAAACAGCAGACGCTTGTTTTCCTTTGGCTGCAACATCCTTCTGACTCCCACACAAGAAGCACTCCTGCAGTATTCCACATAGGCAGAATACATCCAGTTCCTAGAAGTCCAAATACAAGAAACTGTAGCCTGTTTTAGAAACCACGCTGATCTTGGATTATGAAAGGGAGAAGTAGTCTGCTTTCATGTGTAACCCTGGGCAACTGTGCCGGGTTCTTTTCTTGTCTTTGTCCCTAGACTTTTGATGACCTTTGGCAAGAAATCCTTCCGGTGTGTGCCTCACCTGTAAAATAAGGCTAATACCAGGGAGTGAAAGACTGGACATTATTGTTATTTCGTAGACAACCTCCTACACATAATAAAGGTAACTATGAAGGGTGAAATTTGCTGTTACTGGTTTCTAAATGCACCTAGGTAAATTATATCATGAGAAAAACAGCCACTCTCCTACTGTTTCTGTTCTTTTGCACCAAAGCAAATGAGTCAAGTGGCTTCAGAAACTGGCCACATTACTAAGATAGAGAGGGCATGTTGCATATTCATAAGAACTTAAGATTCTTTTATTTACATTTTCATTGCTAAGGGCTGTGAAATGGAACAGAATTCTATTTACTAAATACTATTCCTGGTGCAATAAGTTAAAGGATTTCTCAATTAATACATGGAGCTTATGTATAAAAGACAAGAGGTTAAGCAATACTGCAGTGCCCAGTGGACCATCTGGTGAACATTAGGATGTCAATAAATCATAAAAGCACCAGTTCATCAAGAAAATTCCATTTCAAACCACTAACAGGAAAAAAAAAGGCTGGGAAAAAACTCACAAAATTGGTATTTTCATATTTTATAAAAACAGGAGCATTAAATGACTTTAATCCAATTTCAATTGTTTTATTGGTTCTCTTCTGATGACCACATGGCTTCACATACTGAATGTTTAGCCCTTTGTCTTGCACACAAAAGCATTATGAAATAACTCGGTGCATCATCACAGGAGAAGCTCATCTCTTTCCTCTTAGTCTTTTTCCTCACCATGGGTGATAACGTAACAGAGGTTCTTATAGTCAAGATTACCAGAGACATCTGGAGGGAAAGCAGCAAACATCTGTTTAATCTGCCAAGCAAACAGGAGATAAGTGTTACAAACATAGGACTGTGGGACAGCAACATGTACTGGTTTTTGTTTCCCCCCCCCAGTTCAGCTCCCTTCTGCCTTGACCTGTTAACCTCGATGGAAGATTATTGCTTCGCTTCAGTAAAACTGAAATAGGAATTAGGACACAACCAGTTAATACAGCCCTGCCAGAATCCCAACAAGTACCCTGTCAAAAAGAGCATTCCTGAAATCCAGGTAAGCCCTGGCCAAGTACTGCACTTTGGACTGTTCTTGCCATGAAGCAAGTCCGCTCAACCTCCTCTTGTGAAAATGAAGTCCCTCTAAACTCTTCCCAGCCAGCAGAATCCATGTTCAGTCTCACACAAACCACAAAGTCAGTACCTCGTTTCAGAACTCATTTCAGATTTCAAACAAAATAACTCTCACAGAAATGGAAACCAGATCACAGTCCCCACCCAAACCCACTTAAACTCTAGTAAATCCGTTGCCCATCTCACCATAGGAAAGAACAGCAAGAGATAGGCCACGCTTACACTTGGATGGAAGTCCAAACAATCTGTTTGACTTTGATTTAGCCATGGAGCTATTCAGAGGAGATGCTGTGAATTGTTCCTAATTGCTAGAGCTGGCACCATCCTTCTCTCAGTCTGGATTTCAGCTGAATTCATGCATTTAAAGAGGGGCAAATTCTTCTTGCTGAATAAAATAGATTCCTAATTTGAGTAAAGACGGCCCTTACCTCTTCTTGACTGAACCGGTCTGCCTGTGTCATAAGCATTTCTTTGATGCTGTTCAAATAAAACGAAATAACCCGATTAAAGGGTGATAATGGCACATGACAATTCAGATGGCAAGATCCCTCCTGAAGTTGCCTGGAAGAAAATCTGTGTGACCGCATAAATTAGAGCTGTTAATCCTTACATGATATTGTAAAAGATGTTCTGTGGGCACCCATCAGTGTCAATGCCTCGCTCTGCCAACTTATTTTGCTTTTGTGACATTTTATAGAGGTTTAAAATTGTTTAAGGTTATTACTGTAATTGAAATACAGCAATTTGCTATGGTTATCTTCACCTAAAACGGGAGGTTTTCTCACTTGCTGTTAAAAGTTTGGATCACTTCACAAAACCAAAAGAGAGAATATTTTCTGTAAAATCTGAGGATGAAAGGAACAGAGCATGAAATGAGAAAGAGGACTTGAAAGAGAACTCCAACAGCTATTCCGAATCATCATCTGAGAATCCCTTTATTTGCATGCAGTCATTCCCAGAGGAGACCATGAAACTGCATGAGACCTGTTGTATTTCATGGTACAATGTCTTGTTCTGGAGTTACAGCACTGTAACAAGGAGCTTATCCCACACACAATCTGCATCTTATGCAATTACATCAAAGAGAATATTCTGGGGACAGACTCTCAGCTGATTTACCCTCTTTTCAAACCCATTGTGGGAAATCAGTTGAGCATGTAATTTTTTTACCTAAGTTCACAGGTGAATGAATAGAAAAGCCAGGGAGAATGATCACTGCTCTTAGCCTCACCCCCTTAGATAAAATGTCTTTATATTTCACCCAGTGCTGAGGACAGGACATGCCCAATGTGCTAGAACTTCCACCAGTATGAACTCAGTTATATTATGTAAACATCCCTTTCACTTGCACTAATAATTCCCCCTTCCTGCAGAAAGCCTATATTAATCTCAAAGAGTTTGCATTCACACTGAAGAGGCAGAGGTGGCTCCTTTTCTGACTACCAAAGGTACTCACACATTTTCAGTACTCTTTCTAGAGCCGTAAAGCAGACTGTAAAGCTGTGATAACAGATGAGCCGTCTGTTGTACAAACCCAAAAGCTGAAACAAGCATAAAAATCTGGTTTTGTTAGTAGATTTGAAAAGAGGCTGCTTTTTGGAGGAATTTGTGTGGGGGAGTGAGAGCAAGAGCTCTTCTGGAACAGCCCTTTCTGTTTGTTTTTTTTTTTAATGTGAATACTTATTTCTGCTTTTTAAAGTGAATATTTGAAACTAAGTATTTTTAATAGAAATCATGCCTGCGCAGGAACACTTCCATATGAGCAAAATTCACCTACTGCTGATGCAGATGTTCAGGCAAAACAGAAAAGCTTCCCTTTCTGCCCACATACACCACGGATCTTGAGTCAAGAAAGTCACACAGATAAAAGTGTAGTTTTGATGGCAAAGCTACAACTGAACTTCTTCATATCTCTGACACACATATTTTTTCCAGTAAAGGCTACAACAAAGACATGGCCCGATTTGCATAAGAGGCACATACACTTCTGAATCTCTTTCTTGTTGATGTGAAGTGCTCATTTGGAAGGACAGAAAGGGAAAACTGAAAAAAGAAGGTTCTGGGTAAGGATCTTAACCATAACGACAAAAGTGAAGATATCTATTCAAGTTCTAGGAAATACTCTGAAGTTGCAGAAAGAGCTTAAGCTATTGTATATATTTTTCCTGCATGACTTTACCATTCTCTTTAATTTAGCAAAGCCATTTCCCATCTCTTTTTTCTCACATTGCTCTTTCTATTTTGTTATCCCAGCCATTTGCTATGTGCCTGCATTTTTTGAAGTGGAATTCTCAAATAATCAGTGGGTGAAAGAGTAGAGAGATCATCCTCATCAGCATGGGCTGATTATTGGATATATGTGCACAGGGGCAAGCAGCATTAGCAAATGTAAATAGGAAGTGTGATACAGGAAGGAGCTTGGTGAATAGAAGGAAGCACTTACAGCAATTTTGTCAGAAGTCACAAATAAACTTCATCACAAACAGGACTGAATTAAAGAGATCTGGGCACTGTGTGTCTTCTGTTCACATGCTTAAAGTATTTAGGGGAAAAGAAAAGATCAAATATCTAATTACAGTCTTCTGATGCACAGCCCAGTAGGCTCTGGCACTCTCAGAAGGAAGGACTGAGTTAAGGATCTATGCACATTTTCCATTATTTATTTTATAGGGAAACAAACATTCACAGTTTCCAAAGCTACAGATTATACACTTTTTTCTTTGTGTATCTTGTTTTCTTTTTTTTGAAGACTATTTGCTCCTCAAATAAAAAGAAAAAATCAAAGTCTTCTGGGCAAAAGAGAATATCCATTTGCCTTGACACAGGAGTCTAAATGTCACCTCTTGTCCTGCCTGGCATCAGTTCTTTCTACTAGTACAAATACTTTGGGTTTTTAAATTATCTGTGAAATCTATGAGACATCTTGGTTTTCCACTGGGTTTGCCCTTTCTATAATGCTGGCTTGGAGGAAAACAGGTGAGTTGAAATGAGCAGTGCTCTATAGCTATGATGAGAAACATCACTACCTCAGCCAAACTAAGCTCCAAAGGTCCGGATGCAGCTCAGCTCCCTGGGTCCATTTTCATCTGGTACAAATCTGAACACTTTTTTTTGCATGGTGATGAGGCACAGTTGATGTTGGCCTGACTCACTTTGTCCCACAAATGGCATTTAGGACTGAATCATCCAACCTTTCCGAATGCTATGCCAGTTTACACCAGCTGAGAATGCGACCAAAAGCATTTTCTCTTTTTAACATCATGCTATAGGAAGGATTTGATGTGTGGTATAATGATGCAGATAAACAAAGTCTGTCATTGAACTTGGAAGTAAGTTATAAACTCCTGGAGCTTCTGGAAAGGTTAGAAGACTCCATCCCAGCTTCCATCAGATGGACTAAGTGAGTCATTTCCAGACTAGAGGTGAAAACACGCAGAGGGAAGAGACATAAAAATCCCCACAAGGAGGTTAACCCCATGAACATAAAAAGAAGTTCTTATTAAAAGGTCAGTATGGCTGCTTTTAGAGAGAAACATTCCAGGATTTTTTTATATGGAGAAATATTATTTATTAACATTAACTGTCGTTTGAAATGGCTGTTTGAGCCAGCAGAAAGATTATTTCAAAACCTTCCAATGTCTAAGTTTTGGAAGCATATGAATAGAAGTTAAACCTCAAAGACATTCACGGAATTGATTTAATGGTTTGTTCTGTAATGATCAACATTACCCTCGGGTCTAATAAGTAAACATTATGCTCTGTTGTGGTGATGAACTAAAACAATTGTCTAATGTTAGCAGTGCAGTGGGGGTAGGGACAAGGTTGACCTTTTTCATCAAGGAAAAATAAAAGTATTCCTCTCTCATCTTCATTTTGGAGCATGATACTGCATTCCTAATTTGCCCCAAACTCCAACTGGCTTCCAGCATCCAAGGAATGTAGAACAGGACACAGGGTGGCAAGCCGCAGATTTTGTATGCAGTATATTGTTACAGATAGTGGCGGGAAATACAACATTTCATGGGCTTTGTATTATCAGAGGGTTGTATTTCATGCTTGTGATTTCACTGCTGTGTGATCTGGCCTATTTGGCAACAGGCTACCTTTTATTCTCATTGTTTGAGTCACTTCTGATGTGTTTCTCTGACTGCTCTTCCCCAGCTGGTTGGATAATAACCCAAAAGCAATAGGGATGCCTGTTAACCCTCTATTCTTTCAGACTGTTTGCTACATCCACTTGTGGTTTAATTACTTTGGAAGTTTAGTGAAAAGACTGTTTCGTTGCTTTGTTTTTACATACTGTGTACCAGAATAGGACTCTCGGACCCACTGGCTTACTGTCATAGAAAAGCATATTGGCAATGGATAGAAATACTTTGCGTGAATTTTGTCTTTTCAACTAACTTTTGTGAGACATTGGTAGTTGCAGATAATGTCATAGAAAACTCCACCTTTGAGGTTCTGGTCAAAGGTTTAGTTTTCATTTACCTTATGATGACATTAGCAGAATTAATTGGTGCAAATACAGTTTTGTAACTCATGGATCCCTAATAAATTTCCTATACATATTATGCTTTGTAAAATCTACCTGTAGTGGAAATATAGACCCCAAATTCCTGAGGGAATTTAAGTATATAGATAAATCTAGGCATATAAAGCATTCCACTAGAACCACAGGTCAGATCTCCTCATCCACTGCCCTGATCTGATACTATTTATCTCATTTACCTGAGGGTCTCCTTACACCCTCTGACAGTGCAATGAGGATTTACATGTGTGCAATTAGCACTTCAAGTCCTTTTACCTGGCTTTGGTGGTGTAACAGTTTGTGAATACAAATGAGGTCCTGCCTCCTTATTTAAAATATGGCCATATTGACAATAATTGTAATCTTATTACCAGTATTATTTGCTTTGGCTCCCACCATATGTAGTGGAATTTTACAGCAAATTATTGTCTAGAAGCAGAAGGCTCTGATGGTGAACATGTAACAAGGAAAATGTCCTCACTAAAACCATGTCCCAGAGTTAATTAAATTGATCACTTTGGTTAAAAGGGGGCTAGGTTTCCCATTTTAGACAAGCACTCTCAGTTAGGCACCAGACATTCATTTTCATTTTACATATGGAGTTAATCTACAAAGACTCATGTGTTGATTTATATCCAAACCTTCAAAAAAGGCTATCTAATAGCCTACATGTGATTATATTTCCATTGCCTCTCGCAGTGTCTGAAGACAATAACATCTCTTTTTAGTATACAAATACATTCATACAATAGTCCAGTCTTTTAACTCTGGCTTACAAAGCTAAATGTTTTCTCTGCCTGACAGCTCTTCTGCCTCTTAAAATACTGCATAATATATAGCTTTTAAGCTGTTCTTTAAACCTGTGCAATTATTATTATTACTATTATTCTTTTAAAAGGATTTGAAATAAACTTACTAGTCTGCCTTTATGTGGCCTTTTCCTTCTGGGTCGAAAATCTTAAAAGCATTCAGAATGGTTTCTTCTGGGTCCGTGCCTAAAATTAATGAAATATAATTTAGCAGCCTGGATGTGTTTCTATAGCCTCTGAATACTTGCTAAGTAATTGCATTCACTCAAAAACAGAGCAAAATGGAAAATTCTGCAGTTGTAGGTTTGAAGACAAAGGTTCCTTCAGTCAGCAGCATTTGTCATGTCAGATAAACAATAGAGGTGAATAGTTCAATGCTCAGAAGCTTAAAAATAATAACTCATATCTATTCTATGTCTGCAGGAGAGAAAACTTCCAGGAACTGGTCTCCAATATCAGTACCCAGAGGATTAGTGGCTTTCAGAAATGAAAATATAACAAACTGTTTCCCTCACTGGCTTCCTTTAATCTTGTACTGGACGTTCCTTGTAAAAACACTTTGTGATGTTACTTGTTCTTCACTGTATAGGGAAGGGGTTATTTTCTTCACTAAAGGAAATGGAGTTCATCCTAAAATCAGAATGACAAAGGAATGCAATGGAAACAGCACGATCAATGTAAAATGGTGCTCTCTGCTTACATTCTGTAGTGCACTTCCACTGAAGGATCTCTTCATTAGTGTTACTTACAGAAACAGGATGGCTGAAAGCACTAGACTATGGCTCCAAGATTTTGCTTTTGCTCTTAGCTGGGCCACAGTCTGTTGGTATGACTTTAATTTCCTTGCTCCTCTGTTCCCAGCAGTAAAATGATAGTAATAGCCTTCCTTTTCTTCCATCCTTTATCTGTCCCATCTATTTAGACTGGAAAAAAATGGGTCAGGGACTAGCTTTCAGAGTGCCTGAATCTTGGCTGGGGTTTCTGACTATTCCATAACACTGCAGATTGTGAGTACACTCACTGTCAGTTTCAACCCACACCAAAGATACACTGTATACTCTGTCACTTTGCCAGTGTTACAAAATATTATGGTAGTATATATAATGAAAATCACTGTAACTGTAGGAAACCGAATTTACAGGCAGATTGACAGACCCACGGACAAACGAAGCTACTTGGAATACTGAAATGTTGAAAGAGTGGTTAAAACATGGTAGTAACATGAAGAACTGCAGTTTCAAAGTCTGGCAGAGACAGAACCAGAACGGAACCCAGTCAAGGTCCCTTGCTCCCATGACTACATGCACTCACGATGCCGCCTTAGTTTTCTTTGTTTAAAAGGTTTAATAAGGATTATTAGTAGTACTTTAGTGGATATAATACTGAATAAACCTAATGGCACTGACCATGTATATTCTTTTGCCATGCTATGGGCAACGCATTCAAACTGCAATGAATATGTGATCCATACAAAGAGCACTGGCATTTAATGAGCATTTTGATTGTCCCATGAAGTGAAGTGTCTTCCAGCTCGGAGGAAAGGTCGCATTTAAAGTAGTCACCACTGTGGGGGGGGATTTTTTTTTGTTCTTACTGTGTTTTACATTTTCTACTCTGTCATATCCTTGGACTTTGGCTTTGAAGAGAAGCAATGCAGCAGGCATTCTTTATTGATTAGCTGGTAAATAAAGTGGTTTCTTTGATGTGCGGCATCTCTGTTTTCTGTACAAATTGTATTATTCTGACTCCCTGTAGAAACAGCTCCATGTGGTTGGCATTAACATAAACCTCGTTTTGTTAGCTGTTCATCTGGCATCATAATCTCAATATACAAAGCTAAAGCTCGTCCTGAAAATCCCAGCTTCCCCTTTATGACAGAAATCAATTATAGCACAACAAATTTTACTTAGAAAGCACCTTTCACCAAATTCTCTGAGTGGTACTTAGCTAATAAAGAGTGTTGCAAAATTGCCATATCCACTTCCTCTAGCCCTTTCTCCCTTTCTAATTGCACTACAAAGGCTCTTCATCCCAATTAGTTTTGATTGGGAATGTGCAGTCTTTTGGCTCTGCTTCCTTTGCATGACAAACCCAACCAGAAGGGCATGACAAGCACAGCTGTGATTTTCCCTTCACCAAATGGAAATCAAAAAAACCCTCCTCCTCTGCTGGTAGCCAACAGGAAACCTGCAGACAAGAGGGGTATGCTTCACCATTCACCTTCCTGTGCTGGCACTGCTTTTAGGCCACACAATTGGCAGAGCCAGACACCTTGCCAGCTTCAGCCATCGTAGGACACAAGAGGGAAGAGGGGAAAGGAAGAAGAACAAATTTCTATGCTCTGTGTGGTGGTAAGCATTACAAATAGACAGGAATAGGAAGCAGGGCACCCCACAAGAAATAGTCACATATCCCAGGAGGAAGATTAGGGAGGAAAAGGCACTACCTATTCTGCAAGCTGACATCTGGAATGTAAAGGTGGAGGAGCCACTGTGACGAGTCAAATTGTTGTCTGGGTCATAAAATCCTCTCTTCAGTGTCAGTCTACAGCCTTTGCCATCACTTCTTATGCTTCCCAGACATGTCTTGCTCCTTAGCAATAATGTATTTCTTGGAGAACTAGCTACATTAATTCTTTCTTTCAGACCTCTCTGTTTCCTATTCTACGCGTGGAAAGCCCTTCACTGAAGCTGTGCTCAGCAATAAAAAGACAGAGTCCAGTAGCAACACAATGAATGTTTTTGAGAAGATGGGATCAAATTTTTCTGCTTTTCTGCTCATTAATTATTTTATCAAACTTCTGGAATGTGCTTGGCTAAGGCCAACCTTGCTTTGAAGGTCAAGGCTTTCCCTTACCTCTAATGCATATAGGAAAATGACCAGAGGTTTCTCTTGGCCTCTCCCACTCCCTCTCTTGCCCTTTCTAGCCATTAAGAGTATAAGAGACACAACTAAATTACTAGCTCCTGCAACAAATTTAGTACCCACATTTCCTGGACTCCCTACAGTGATCCCTATCTACTCCGTGGCATTGGGCAAAATCCTTCTCCCTTATCAATGTAAATCTACTGAAATTATTTTAATTTCTCCCCTCTATTAAGAGTTATTCAGCAAAATATCCAATGGTAAAATTACTGTTGACCTCAAGGGAAACCAAGGCTGGGCCACTGGGTTACAACTCCTACAGAAAATGAGGGAAGGCCATGTTGCTCCTTCATGCACTGTAACTGCAGGAATGATGCGGAGGTCGTGCTTGTTATTGAGCCAAAGGTGTGCAGAAGGTTTTTCTTTTAGAAATACTGAAAATACTTTTAAACCAGCTAACACTGGGAGTGATACCACTATAGCATGAGCAATAGACTTCATTCAGCCTAGGAACCCACTGACAGTGAGTAACTCATCTGCACTGTGCTCCAGGCTGCTGTGATTTCATTACTTTCTGGACCTCAACTTACCACTTTCATGTTAGCTTATGTAAGCTGAAATCAACACCTTTGAATTGTCCTCTGGACCGTCCCATAGCCTTTTCATACTTCAGCTCTGTCTGCAAAAATGGAGATCACTCCTTGCCTTTAAGCAATCTTCTGTGGATACGTTATTATAACTTGCAAGGTGCCGAGATACTTCAGTGCTGAGGATCTTTGACAGATACCTCTCCAACCCCCCAGAGGTACTTACCTTTCAGCTTTTCCCCAAACATAGTAAGGAAGACAGTGAAGTTAATAGGACCTGGCGCCTCCTTCACCATGGCTTCAAGCTCTTCATTCTTGACATTCAGACGACCTGCAGCAGAGATCATTTTTCATAATAAATCACAAATTGTGTTTCAAAAAACGATTCCCATTCATCTCCTCCGACTGGGGAGCTCAGGGCTCTGTGCAACTTCGCTAATAACATGGTAGAACACAACTCCAGAATACCCCGGTGTGAAACAAATTGGCAGAGCTGGCTCCAAGATCAAAGGGTGACTGAAGGAGTAAGAAGGATAAATAATACAGACATGGCCAGCAGTGGACGAAAGAAGGGGCACTTCCAAATAAACTGGTTTGCATTTTTGGGTGGTTTTTTTTTTACCTCAGGTGAAATACAGGCCCCACTGATATTACTATAACAGAGTTCAAAGTGACTGAAGCGAGTCCAAGGTCTCAGATTTTGCCCTCCTATATATTAAGAGTAGAGAGCAGATGGACGAGTTGAGTAGTTGGATCCTTTCCTCACCCTTGTGCAGTCCTGTCCCTTTCCCATCCTTGCACAGTCCCATCTCTTCCCTATCCTTGCACAGTCCTACTGATGAGAACTTAGCCCCTGGCAGCTCTACTCAAACTGAGTGGCAATTTGCTGTGACGGTACTTTATAGGCATTGAAAGACTTCACTGAACAGGAAAGAAAGCAGAACTTGGCCTTAAGAAGTAAATATTTCAGGGTAACAGTAGCTACAGGCCAAAGTTTGCAAACTTCGTTGTCACAATAAAGAGTTCAGGAGCTTCTGCTCTTTGCAGTGATTCTGCTGGTGTCTGACTCCACCCCAGGGAGCTCTAAAGATTCTTATCAAACTCTTTTTAATAGGATCCAGATGGCAAAAGTCCAAATGCCTACATCACTGCTCAAGCCTCAAATGCTGCAACAAGGATACAACTCCAGGTTTGGGATCCTGAGAATTTTGATTTTTCCTTTCCTTGGGAAGATTTGCTTTCATCTGCTTGATATTATCAGGATTGTGATGTGCATGGAGCGGACAATACCTAATCTCATGACATGCACATTCCACTTCACATAAAAGCCCGACAGCACAGAACCTCACATGAAGTCTTTCTACTTTCGTGTGGGCAGAGGGGCAGCTAGTCCATGACAACAATGTTAATTGGTAGATATTGCATGGCTCCTACATGAAAAAGGTGTAGTTTGTGAAGCCTGGATTCAGAGGCAAATCAGAAATGCCTGGCATGGACCCGTGCTTGGGTGGGCTTTGTATGACATAGCTGCAGGGGGTGTGCCTTTGGAGCTGCACAGCTCTGCTGCACCCAGCAGAGAGTCCCAGGAAGACCTTCACTTTGCTTCTGAAAGAGGCTGCTTGGGAGACTTTCCAGCTGGAGCTATGTAGTCAAATAGCAACTACCATAAAGGAGGAAAATCAAATTGAACAGTTTTCCTTTTGCCTCCTGTGTTATCTCATTACTTTCCCAGTGTAATTCTAAGACAAACTTTTCTTCTGTGCTTGTAATTTAAACTGTGTTTCTTTTAAGTACTGAATTCTTACTACCAGTTTACCTAGCGCAGCGAATGTGTCTCTCAAGTCTGCTTTGTCAATAAAGCCATCCCTGTTCTGGTCCATGATGGTAAAAGCCTGTTGGAAGAAAAAGGAATATTTACTGACATTGCTATGTTGCAGCGGACAATGCTACAGTCCCAAATACCAGTCCAGGGGGGTATTCTATTTATGCTGTGAAAAAGAATCACTTCCTTTGCTGCATCCACATCATGCCACATCATTGCACTTTCCTCACTTTCAACACATTGCTGTAGCTTGGCAAGGGGCTTAATTCAACCCACCCAAAGTTCTTCTTACTAAATTAATGTTCAGTGCAGTGTGTAGTTGGGCTGAAGCCAATGCTGGCAGCTTCAGCCATTCAGGCCTTAACCCATAAAGCTTGAATTAGGGAGGCTTTAGTTAGGGAGGATTTAGTCAGTTTACTCTGTGTGTTTTGTACCTTTCCCATTCCTCATTCCTTTGTGCAGCTCTCACAGTCTGTAAAACATTTAATTACTGTAGATATCTCTCTGGTATCAAGCTACAGTCAGTTCTTGTGGGCCTTAAAATGATCCATCACACAGAGATAGCTGGATTTTCAAAAGTACAGAGAAATGTAGGTTTCACAATATTGTTTATTCCAAGTTTGTTTCCCTTCCCAATAAATTGTATCCTTCAGACTGTCCACTGTGCTCCGGCTGACCTTGATGTGCTGACCTTAAATACTTCTGGTCAGGAAAAAATTAACTTCTGAGAGAAAAAACACAGTTAGCTCTCCATTTTCAGCCAACACAGGATTTCTGTGCTATACCCATTATTTACTAAGCCAGCTAACTGCCTAGCTATCTATTTACCTATTTGCATGTCTGTCTATTCCCTGCCATCACACTTTTAACGTTTCATTGATTTTGAAAGATTTTAATGACCTGAAATCCCCTTGGTTGTACTATGGGGAGTATTAGTAGAAGCAGGCCTGTCTCTGAAGCTGGTTATCTGTCTGACATACACATCAATATGAGAGTGTATCTTTACAATGACCAGGAATTATTCTGATTCCAGCATTAGTATGAAAGACAATGTTCTCCTGAGAATACAGCCAGCCCACTGCAGCAGGAACTTGCAGAGTTTTATTGCTCTACAGGGTGCACTTCTTTCCATGACCATATTATATCAACATATCTTCAAGTAGTTTTACCTCCAGTTTCTTACAAAGCCCCACTGCTCGCATTCTGGTTTGCCCATGTGGTTACTTGCAGCATGCATGTTCATAACCCTTCATTTACCTGCCAAACCATCACCTTATAAAAACCTAAGCCCAACTCTTTAGAGCTGCTTTCCTTCCTCTTGGCGGGGAAGCTTGCTTTGAGTGGTGATCCCCACAATTTGGATGCAAACCAGAAGAAAATATAAAGAGCAAAGCAGAGCCCAGCAAGCTCACAGAAGGCAGGAAAAGTGTTAGGTATGTGTTGTAATGGGTGAACTTAAAATAACGTAGTCACAGCAATGCTGAAACTTCTTCTGGTTGAAATCTCTAGATAAAAATGTTCTGATCAAAACCAGCTTTTCAGAAATCCTTGTCCCAGTTATGCTGGTTTTAGACACAACATGGTCTTGGTTTTCTCTGGACAGCTTCCCTGCCTTATGCTTTTGCTATTATTCTGCCACCATTCTCCCAGAAATGATATTAAGGTAATATCTTACTTAAAGCAGATCCAGTATAGTATTCTGACCAGTTCACAAGCAGCAGACCTTGGAGAAAATACAACTGGGGTCCATAGGATATGGAAAAGAAGTGGGAGAAGTTAATGCTCCCATTAACTGTGGAGAAGAGGTTTCAATTAATTTACCTGGGCCATGTTCACAATCCTTTGCATGCGTTTTTAGTCTCATTCACTACTGAGCTTTACTGGTGGGAATCTTCACAAAAAGTCAAGTTGAAAGCCACATGAATAAAATGAAACAGTAGCTGTTTATCACACTGGAAATTGCTTTGGAGGTGTAAGTTAGCAAAAATAGAGAAAAAATTCATATTTTAAACTGCCAAACCAATGCAAAATGTGCTGGCCTCACAGGCATTCTGAATGTCCACACAGAAAAAGAGCATAAACTCACCAAATTATGTCTCTAATATCCTTCAGCTTTTATGCCAGCCCATTAGATTTACCTCCTCAAAGGTCAAAGATGCATGGTAATACCAAATTCTTTGGGAGCTTAAATATGCTTACTTAGTGAATCTCAACATGTTGTTTTGTTTCATTGGTTTTATGGGAAAACTTGGCTGAGGGCTTCTTGGTATTTTTCTTTCTAGTTTGTGGGCATTATTAGAAGGGCACAGAAGAATATTTTCTGTTGCTATTGTGGAACAGTGCACTAATTAATGCCCTGGTTCAATAAGGCACCTCTATTCAGGATAATACTTGTGAACTGAAGACTATTCTTATTGAAAACACTGCTTAAACTTAACTTTAAACATGCGCTCAAGTGCTTTCCTGAATCAGGGCTACAGTGGATGAGATGATAGTTTTACTTGATTTTGGGGAAGGGCCTTGGGGGCTTTTCAAGTAAGTCTGGAGCTTGAGACAGGAGAGCGAGGGAGAGACAGACGGAAGGAAAGAAAGAATGAAAGAAAGAATGAAGGAAAGAACAAACAAACACACAAGGAAAACGATATACCAGCCAAAACCACAGAGATGATTCAGAAAACAACTGTGTGTTCTATTAAAGCAGATGGAGAACTGAATAAGGATTACAAACAAAACCTATGTTACTCATTAGTGATGACAGGAGACTACAGAGAACAGCAGAATAGTGACCAACCTCTTTGAACTCCTGGATCTGGGTTTGTTCAAACATAGAGAATACATTGGAACCACCTTCTATCTTCTTCTTTGCCTTTTTTGGAGCCTGTAACATATATAAGAAGATCAAATACATATTACTTTATCTGTTAAACACCCATGAAAATGAATTCCATCTTTAACAGAAGGAAAATACTGTCAAGTAATACAAGAGGATTGTGTTTCATTATGACAAGCTTTTTAATTCAATCCTATATATATATGTGTATGTGTATATATATAAATATATACATATGGGATAAAAAATGCTGCTTTAGTAACAGACGAATCTCTGAAGCTTTTTGTCATTCCCTTGCTCTGGCCTGGAAGCTGGCAGCTCAGATAAACAAGGACAGCTTGTCACTGTGCTGCCCTAAAAAAGGCAAGGGACCCAAAGCGTGACTCTCTGAATATCACAGCTGGTCCACTGCTTCTTTCCCCAGGGAACTGCCTGTTCCTTGGATAGAATCACCTATGCCAGACCATTTGATGCAGGAGATTACTGCCCCTTCTGCAGTGGCTTTTCAGAGCTCTGTACTAGAGGAGGAGTGATACAAGCTTACAGTCTCACTTGGAGATGTGAGCTAAAATTCCCAACCTGCTCTTCTCCAGAAATATAAGCAATTCAGGTAAGTGGCTGCAGGTATTCCTTCTTCCCAGTGCCTATGCTGGGATAGGCATTGAGGCACAAAATGAGGCCTTGCATGAAGACTCAGTTCAGGAGCTATAAAGGGAAATTACATCATTTCCTACTCACACAGAAACATTCAGAAGCCTGCTCTGTCTGGACCACCACTGACTGAACAGATTCTTCCTATGTAGGAGCCTTCTCTATTTGGAGAATAATCTATATTCTTGCACCAACCTACGATACTACGTTACATTGCCTTACTAGCCCATATAATTTTAATATTCAAGATAGTCATCTTAAATAGAAGGGCTGGACTGCTTTTATCACTATTATTAGTCTGAAGACTGAGACAGAAAGTTTGGGGAAAGAGCTACAATGATATCTAAGAATCTAATGCTCACTAAAAATCAGTTAGAACGAGACTTCATTACGTATCTTTGAATAAGGGCCCAACCAGCTTGCCTAAGACAATACAGTTCTTGTTCTGCAGTAAATAAGATCTGTGATGCCTAAGGATTACAGAAATGTTTTAACCACAGCATTATCCTGACTTGGGGCAGGATAATGACCTACCTCGCCTTTTGAGTTGTCTTCCAGACAGACTGCTTTTTTCTTTATCATTTTTGCTTTTAAACTCCATCATCATAGTCCCACCTTGTTCTCATGTCATGGAAAATTAGTCTTACTTAGTTTGGGCTACTCTGCATGAAACAGAAGGCAACTTCTACTGTCTCCTTTCATCAAAGTAAAAAAGCCCATGGAAGTTCAAATTCAATCCTGATTTCAAACATCCTGAGGAGCAGAACAGCTCAAGGAAATATTCCCACTAGACTCTGTTTGAAGTATACATTGTCTGATCAATTTAATCTGCCAGGCAGATCTCCACATGCAGCCACCCTGGTTTAGATCCCAGCTTGCAAATGAGGTCTATGGTAGACACTTACCCCCATCCCCACACTCCAGACCTGTCAAGCTCCCATTAGCTAGTGCAAAGCACTAAAATCTGGAAATAGGAATGGAAATTGAAAGAAAAATGTCTTTGTAGTGAGGATAAAAATCAGGACAGAATGCCACTACAGGCATGGAAAAGAAAGTGAAGAAGTGGAATGTTTAATGAATGTAGAAATATTGATTTTGGAATAAACATATTCTCTTCTCCTCCTACACATGAAATAAGTGTTATTTTGAGCAGTAATGGGCAATCTTCCATGTAACGTGAGGTGCCTGGTGGAGGTTTTCAACACTTTCAGATTGAATGGAAATATAAAGGACAATCCTACGTATTTACATGTATTTGTTCCCCAAGGTAAAAAGAAAGCAGATGTTACCCAGTGGAATGTATTGCAAACTGTCTGGGGAACTGACCACAGGGCACAAGGCTGGCTGCACGTTTGCAGATGGGGTAGTAGAACTGGTTCTCTTGTGCTTGTGTAGCTGTTCTTCATGAAGACAAAATGGCCTTTACCATTCTGATGCTCTGCTCTGCTGTGACCAAGTACTGCACCCATATCCAGGAGGGTAAATATTCCCCATGTTAACAATCTGCACCTTTTTAAGCCAGGACCACAATGAAGGACAGTGAGCTCCAGCTCCAAGTTTTATTAACTCTAAATGCCGAACACTGGCAATATACTTCCATTATGTCTCAGTTTAATGGATTCTCTCTGCTGTATGGCTTTAAGCAAGGATTATAGCTGTAAGAAAGGATCAGATAAACCTAAAAGTTGTGGCTCAGTATCTATTAGAAACAGACCGGCAACACAAAAATATCCAAAAGTTTCTTTACATTAGTGAAGTCCTATCAAGGCAAAAAAGACTGAAAACTAGTTATCCAGAGTCCATGCCTGTACTAGGAGAAATCCATCCTAGCACAATACTTGTCCAGTGTTACTCTCTGGTTTGTTATCTCCAGGGATGATAAAGGAGATCCATGCCCATGTTGCTCAATCTACCTTTAGTTTTTCTGCTGAAGCTCTGGGTGTGGATCCAATTTATGATCTGCTCATGTGTGGAATGGGACTGAGACCACCACTACATTTCACAGGGGAAGAGCTGTTGAATGGAAATGGCTTTCCATCACCAGTATTAAGCTAAGTCTTCTGGCATCAAACATAGAGAGCATCTTGGATTATCAGTCTCTTTGTTTTTTGCATACACAGTATTGGGAACATAATTTATCTGCTCTGAAGGGCTGGGAAATTCATAATCACAGAAAGAAACTGCACCTTGATTTTGCATGAGTTGTGGGAGGCAGGCACTATGAAGAGGAAGGCTGAGAAATAAGTAGGCGGAGCAGAAACAGAATACAGCACATTGTCACTGTCTTTCTGGTGGGCAAGTCAAAGCAAACGGCAGCTCTAAGAGAATAGAAATAGGTCTGTGCTGCTCTCGCTGATGACTTCAAACACTACAGAATCTTTTAGTGACCAGAATCAGGATTCTGACTCTGGAGTATCCTTCTGAAAGAATGGTATTGTAAAAAGAGCAATACAGAATCGAGCAACCATATGGTTTCTAAGCTGTCAAGGATTTAGTAGGTGACCTACAGAGGAGTGTGTGACTGACACATCACTTCTGTCTGCCTTGTTTTCCCCTTTTGTAAAATGCAAAGTGTACCGAGCTGCACTTTGCAAAGATAGCTGCTCTGTCTTTGCAACATGTGCTTTGAGACTGACATACAAAACGTGCCAGATGAGAAACTGAAGAGCTGAGGGTCCCCTGGGCTTGGATTCCGAGGCCTCAATAGCACAGCAGTGGGAAGAATGTTGCAACAACTGAACAAGCCTATTAATATTCCTGCCTGAGTGTATTAATCACCCCATTGTGAAGAAAACAACACTTCACTTTAGAAGAGAAACCACAGGCTTACGCATATCACTCATTTGTCTCACTGGTGTTAGCACTCTCTCAATTAGCCTCGATTTTAAAGGCTTTTTATGTTGTTGGTTTTGGTTTGTTTTAGAAGATTTAAATGAAAAAATGGAGCAATGCTAAAATCTGGTCCCAAGAAAACTCTGTTGAAGCAGGCATTTGCTTTGGGCCGAGTCTCCCTCACTGAGGTTCCTTATATTTCTCCTCTCAGGCAGTGTCAGGGAGCCAGAGAGAACAGGAATAGTGCAGTGACACAGGCAGGCAGGAACAATGTGTGTGCACTGCCTTTGCCTCTCTGGATATAGGGATTCATCTTTTATATGTTGAAGAGGGGAGTGTATGCTTAAGTGAATCAGAGTGAGGAAATCTCTTATTTCAGGGTGACCTAAAAGCAAAGGGGGCAGGGAATCAGTTTGTATCTCCGTATGCAAAGGAAGAAGGAGCTGAAAATACTTGGTTCTCATTCAGAACATGAGGCATTATTTACCTTGGTAAATTCATAAAAGGCTGCTGCTAGAACAGGTTCATGACACCAGAGAGACAAAGGAAGTGACACTGGATTATTGCAGAACTTTATCACCTTAATCCCTCAATGAATTTTTCAGACAGCCGAGGAAAGTGTGGTAAAACAGGCAGGTTCCTGCAAGATAAGCAAAGGTACTGATCCATAACTGGCACTACTCCACACTGACTGCTCAGGTGCACACTCCCCCCTTCAGTAAGTACGAAGTAATCAACCTCTACTTAGCATTTTCTGCAGAGCTAGAATGTCCCCATGGGCACCAGGCAAAACGGGCAGCACTCTGCCAGAAGCCACAGTTTTGGTTTAGTTTGGGGAGGTCAGTTCCCTGTTTGGACCTAACCTGAGAGAAACCACTCAGAAAATACTCTTAACTAAAGGAGACACAGTTTGATGCTCCTGACAGCCAGAGTTAAAAGACAAGCAGAAACACTTCCCCACTCAGCAAGTGATTGTGTTACCAGAGGAGGCACCAATGGAGGAGCAGGTCTCCTGGGAGAGAGTCCTTCAGAGACAAAACAGCAGAGTACATTATTAAGAGCCCGATTCGGTTGTCTTGTACCCTTCTGTATTCAGCCCAGAGCAAACTAGACATAAGATACTACCAGCTTTAAATTGCACTATTTCACATTTTATACTTCCTTCCTCTGCGACTATGTCCATGACTACAGGAAAGACAGAATCATCCATCATCTTGCTCAGATTCTGGCCCCTACTGTGATCCACAGTATGATGTTAACTCTGAGTTACTCTTACTTTTTCATCCATCACACTCTTTCCTTGTTTTCCATCCACTCTGGGATCTCAGTGCTGACATTTCCTGTCTTTGAATTTTTGTTATCATCGAATCCAGCTTCTGAACCAAAACCTCCACCTCAGGCCTCTCCAACGGATTTGTGCAGCACTGGACAGGATTTTTGTTGATGAATGTCTCACAAGCTTGTTCTGCTGAGATAATTTACCCTGCATCTGCACCAAAGATCCCAGCCATGGACAAGCCACTGTTTTTAGTGTGGTTTGGATCTTTTTGATGGCAGGTGAGTAGCATAAGGCCAACCCAAGTGCATGCCTTTGAGGGAACAGTCTAGAGGAGTAAGCAACATAAACTGCTGTAAGGGCACAATTTGCATTTCAAACAGGCAGAAGCCTCAGATCATTCAAATAAAACCCCACATTATCAGAACTGAGAAACAGAAGACCTTTTTATTACCTACTCTGCACTCACAAACAGATTCCTCCCTTCTCATCCTCACTCCATTTTATATGTAGCCCCAGCCTCCCACATTCCCACACAGGCACACACACCTTTGATCCCTGCCAGATACAAAAATCTGTTGGACTGCATCTTCCCTGCTTCACACTCCCATACACTCAAGCATTCTCCTTTGCCCCACATAAAATCCCTTCCCAATACCAGTCTCCCTTTTTCTCCTGCTCAGATATACACAGGGAATGCATTATCTCCCCACACTCATCTTGGAACAGCAGATAACCTCTCCAGTCACAGACTGCTCAACCTCTATGACCCAAAATTCACCAGCTGCTTTCCCCACCCAACACATTTTCTTCTCTGGCATATATATGTCTTCCTCCTTCACATAAACAGATGAACGGTCCCTCTCTACATACAGAGCCCTCTGTGCTCACACACACATATGTACACACACACGCATGTGCAGATGCATACACAAACACACCACATTTTCAGCGGGTGAAATCATCACTGCTCCACTGAGGTCAGTGCTTGCTTCAGTACAGGTGGTACATTCCAGACAGTTAAGCAGCCTGCAAACACATTTGATCAGAATGCAATCTATTTTTGGGTGTGCAGCTCCCCTCAGCACACAGAATTTGCTACAAGGTGTCACTCAAATTGAATAAACAGGGAATGTTTTGGGAATAAGAAAAAGGCTTCCTTTTCCTTCCTCCCGCCTCTCTTCTTCCCTCCATTCTCTCCATCAGCACAGAGCACACAGGGAGACATCACAGACCCAACTTCACTGAAATGCCCTGGAATTAACAGAGAGCTGCAGACAGTTCTCAGAACTCCATTCCACAGCACTTGTGTGGTCTGCTCTTGTTAGAGAAATTATCTCCCTGAACCCTGCCTCTCTCGCTCTCATCAGCCCTGGATGTCAGAGCCTAGTAGCACTGCCTGACTTGTAATTATTTTTTACTATGCTGCTTTGTCTGCACTAATCCTTTGAAAGTAGCTTTACTGCACATCTGAAATATTATGATGCTATAAAACCTCTGTAATATTTATAAATCCCTTAAGACATCATAAAGAGAGAAAAAAAACCTCCCCACAGAGTTCATCTAGCATAATTACATATACATTTCCCTCTGATTAATAAAAAATGATCACTTCCTTATGTAAAGATATTCTTCAGCTTTCTTTCATTAAGGCTATTTTTCTCTTCCCATTTTAAATCCGTTTCATGTGTCCCTGTATAGGAAGGTACCTCAGAAGATATTTTCCCAAAACAAAAGGCACAATGAAAAGAGCCACCACAGAGAATTATCGGTTGAACAAGGAGCAAGGAGCCAGACTAGTCTGTCACTATATTTTCACATCTCCTCACTTCAGCAATTTCACCACAGAATGTCCTGAACTACCTTCAAACATCAAGCACTGTGGTGTGTCATTGAACTAAATAGGTGGGAAGAAAACTGGTAAATAACGTTCTAAAGAAGAGGGGAAAAAGAAAACCTGAGCCCCAGCACTTGCCCCCCACCCCACAAAAGGGCTGGATTCAACTTCAGTGAAGCTGATTAAAGGGAAACCTGTAAATTCACAACCGAAGAGGCACAGTAAGTACAAGGCACTGCTCAGTCCTGAAATAGTGGCTAGCGACTTGTGCACTCAGTGTGAAACCACTGACACTGGGCTTGCACTGACTGAAACTGGAACCTGGTTTTGTCGTGGATTTTAGAAACTGCTTTGAAAGTGGTTTTATCCTGCTCAGAACAACACTTGGATCCCATTCATCACCTGCTTAAATGGGATCAGGTTCGAACTAAGTTTTGAGAACGCTTTTCATACACAATTCCCTCTCCGGTATTTTCCAGATTCAAATATTCCATAGCCACAGGGAGCCACTGGGCAGTATTACTTTAAGACAGCCTGAAAAGGACCTGCAAAAAGGAGAAACACAAGGAAAGAGAAAATAACCAGCTTTTGGTTTTAATATTGTTGTTGTCATTCCTCTGAATTTGCAGAAGACAAAGATAAAGCCCAATCTGCCCACACCGCTCCCTAGGCAGTTCTTTGCTCCTTGGAATCACATCATGCACACCTTTGGTGCAGGTGTGGCTGTTGGAGTCCAGAGCTAAAAGCCAGCAGTGAGCAGGGCAGGGACAAGACACAAATTTCTGCATTACTTCCTATTTCTCCCCGCAGCCTCAAGAGCAACAGTTACACAGATACCCCTTTCCCTCACTCCCCATCACACCATAGTAGACCTCAGCACTAATTGCACACCAGTCATTGCTGCCCAATGGTATTAGTCTTGGAAAGAGATGCAGGAGCTCTTCTCTCAGCAAATATATCTATGTTCCTACCTTACTCATTTGTTAATCATATGCAGAAAAGTCCTTGGAAGTTCACAGCTTGCTCTTTGACATAGATCTTCATTCTAGATGTGAATATATATATAATGTGTGTATATATATATGTTTATATATATATAATGTATATATATAATACATATATAAACATTCTAGATGTGAATAAAATCTCCTAAGTAGGAGATTATACGGAGTCTGGTGTGGTCATTACTGCTCTGTTTGACTTGTTAGAGTCAGAAAGAAATAGAGAGATCAACAGACAGACATGGGAAAGAATAAAACCTACCATAGTGCTGCTGTGCCTTCCACCCCTTCTCTGCCAACTAGTCAGCCAGCAAACACAATGCCAGTTGTCTCTTTATATAGTGTCATCAAGGAATAAAAATATGCCTGCTCCAAGTTTAGACAATAGATGTAAGGTTGGAAAAGTGCAGTAATTGAATCCCAATACCATTCCAAGCACCTGTTCCGTACAGGGCTTTAGCCTACACAGGAATAATGCAGCAGATGAGTAGAGTAGGCATACAATTGTACAGCACTCACAGTAAGCTAGAGCTGAAGGGGCTTTCCTGCGTACTTCTAAATAATGAACAGAGGCATGCACTAAAGAGATTTCAAGTGGACATGGCATCCTGAAACAGCAGAAAGAGAAACACCCGCCTTGAAAAACTGCAGAGGAAAGCAGCGATAAATTCGGGACACTGAGATCACTCCAGAGCCTGGTGCCTGCATTCAGAGCTCCAGAACAATGCCTGAGGTCCTGCCTCGGTGCAGCTATAATGGGGAGCCATGGGTAAAAGCACTGTTCTACAGATGGCAGTTAAGTATCTCAAGTCAAGTCTGTTTTCCCTGAGTCTATCACACATCCTGAAGTCCAGGGGTCAGATCTCAAACTACTGCAAATTGATGGAGAGTCATGGACTTTAAGCACAAAAAAAGAATAGCAATGAATATGGTGTTGAGAGCAGAAGAAAACAGGAGGCAACATAGGAACCACAAGGGCTATGTCTCCTGAGGAATGCTCATGGACATTAATACCTACACATTCCATTGATTCATAAATCATGTTTGGCATTATCGCAATGGGCCAAAACATTAACCTAGTACAGAATGGCATAATTCCATGACATTACATCAGATTTCCTAAAGGTCTACTCTGTATCTGTTACAGTATCTATACAAGGACACCCATTTAAACCAGCAGCAACAACAGGTATTTCAGGAACATACGTACACTAGCATCTGAAATACTTGTCCTTCATCAGTAACACTAACCTTGAGTCACAAAAGTGCTTCACCAACCAACTGAACGTTGAGACAGACATACATTGAAGTATGCAGCTGAACAAGGACCTTGTTCTCCCTCCAGGTCCAGCCCCTTGCAGTGCTGTCATCTCTAATCTTAGATTTGAGTGCATGCTCTGCAGGGCAAGGACTGTTTCAGCTGTTACAAAGTACCTCAAACACCTACAGGGATAATTAAGTAATAAATAAGCATAATACAATTCACCTGGCTTTAGTGAAATTGTTGTGGATACAAGTTGGAAGTCGGCCTAGTGTCCATCTGTTTCAGTGACATTATACCAATATCTAGTGTAGCACAGCATAACAATAAATCTCTCAGTCCATGTGCCTGCTGGAGAGCAGAGCCAGGTTTGTATATACTAGATTGAATTTGGTCATCTGGAAACCTCAAAGTCAGGATTTCAAGGTAAATCTTACATAGTTTCAAAGGTTCATTGTGATAAAGACTTACCAGGTTCCCTGGGTTAAATCCTGATTCAACCAAGCTGTTAGGCATCCACTTGACTTTTACAGTCCCACTGAAATTAAGGTAATAGCTCTCATACTTACATTTAAGAATACAGTTACTTGTTTTGCAAGATCAGGGCTCTAATCCTGACAAGACAGCCAAATGAGCAGCAGCTTTGTCACTGAGTTCACTGGGCCCAGGATTCCACCCTCTGAATTTTGTGTCCTTTTTTGGAAGAATACTTGTGTTTTCATCCAGCCATTATCCTAACAGCTCTGTTAACAGATGCTTTGTACTGTTTCTTTGGGAGTTTGTTTTCTCTTATCTAATATCTCATCAATCATCATTATTATCATCAATCTGCTCCTTAGTTTTGCAGGCATTTTCCATAGTGCATGTACTTTTTACCTTGATCTTTGTCTTTTCACAAAATTTCTATACTAAATGACTTCTTCAAAGATGTTTTTAAATGACACGACATGTTAGGATAAAACCCACACAACACTGTGTGTTTGTAACGCACGTGTCCTGAGAGACCAGAACCCTCTCTGCTTAGTCTATAAAACAAATCCACAGAGGAATTAAGGGAGACATACATCTTGGCTTTAAAGGCCTGCTTGCTTCTGCAACTGCCTCCAAATTATAGAAAGGCTCCAGACTGGAGAGGGGAGGGAGAAAAGGGGGGGATAACATAAGGACTGAAAAAGAAAGGCTTGAATTTAATTGCCCTAAAAATTTCAATCATTCAGTGTGGTAATTAGAGAGTGGCTGATTCAGAGGCAATTTCATTTGGAAAAAAAAAAAGAAGAACCCAACAAGATAATTGATGCTAAGTGAATATTTTACCTGAAATATTAAATACCAAACTTAAGTCTGCCTCCAGGGCCCTTTCTGCTACCCCTATTGGATCTTTCAACTGCTTTGTGTTTTCCTCCCACATGACTCAACGGAACAGGACACTCGTTCAGAGCATCAGTGTCCCAGGGACAGGTTTATTTGAAATCTCTGTGCTGTGAAGAAGACAATATAATGATTTATTAGTAAAGAAAATAATAACAATAAGTCTCCTGAGGTCCAAATCAGAGTGAGATTTTCCAGGGTTGAGACTCTGTCTTGTCTGGCCATAAGCAAGGTCTGCTGTCCTGCAAAGGGTAACAGCTTTCCTTATGAGCTTATCAAGTATAGGCTAACAGCTTTCTTTATGAACTTAACAATACTGTCAGGACACTTCATGTTTAATTCTGGACTCTCTGATGCTGCAAAATGATACTTAAAGGTAGATCTCTGCAGTCATGCAGAGCACTGTGGATGTCAGTGTCACAGGGGTCTGATTGCACAGATCTCTTTGCAGGATGGAGAGCAGAGCTGCTTTATTGCACACTGCTCAGAAGAAGTAACTGCTAATTCTCTGTTACCTAACAGCTTAACAAACAAGGGCAGCATCTCATACACATCTTAAAGAAATGGTGCATGCCTGGAAATTAAGTAGATATTAATTCATACTACATTTGTAAATGGAGAAATGATAAAGAAAATGCATAGAATCATAGAATCTACTAGGTTGGGAAAGACCTTTAAGATCATCAAGTCCAACCATTCCCCAGCACTGCCAAGGCCACCACTAACCCATGTCAAACCATGGATCAGGAGTATAGACAATGCCTCTCAAGCAGGTCTCACTACAGTGAGAATGCCAGGTTGTGCTAACAAAGCCACCAGTAAGAACTACCAAGGTGAGGTGGATTTCAAGCCCTCCAGAGAAAACCAGCAACTTCCCTTGAACCACCCACTTCTCCTTAATCACCTTAATGAGGAGCTCCCCTTTTTTTCAGAGCCATGATGATTCCCTTTCCCCCTGCAGTAGTTTTTTTAACAGCTGATTAAATTCTTCATCCAGAGGGCAGGTTAGACAGTACTGCTCAGACCCTTGGTTAAGCCTGGTCTGACTGCTGTATTTTGGAGCCTGGCAACAAAGCAAGTCTCAGGAAAGTTAGTCTTACATTCACTGTAAATGGAGCTCCAACAGTTCAGGTACAGAAATGACAGAGCTATTACAGATACCTCTGCAGAACTTCAAACATATTAAAGTATGCAAATCCCACTGAGAATCTTCTCTCTCTGTTGAGTGGAGGTACATACACCTAGTTGGAAACAGCCAGGGCTGTTGTAACTGTTAATTAAGTTCTGTGCATTTGTTGTTCAGGACACTGAATACAAACCTCTTTCTTGCTCTGACTTACCCCTCCCTCTCTGAGAATTCACAGCCACTATCTAATCTGCCAAAAACTGTGTCCCTTTTTATACTTGGAGGTCACTTTATGTTACTTACACTGTGTTGCATTATGTCAAAAGGCATAACACAACATAATGAAAAGCAGACTAATATAACTCAACCTGACGTCAATGACATAACATGATGTGGCTACTGAAAAATGCACTGTTGTCATTGTTTTGTGTTTTCATCTGGTACCTACTTGCTATTCCAGCATGAGGCATTTGTTAGAGAATTTGGAGAAGGTTATGGACTGAGCATGCCTGATTCAACAGTGCCTCCCATCATTATTTCACTGAGATCTCTTTGTTGGCTTTGCTGGGGTTCCTCCTGATTTACTTTAGCAAGAATCAGGCTCTAAAAAATCATCACATAAAATGCAATTACATTAGGAAAGCCATCAAGTTGGAAAATGCAGCTCCTGGGAGTAAGGAAATGACAACGCTGTTATAGTCCCTGTAACCTTAGCTCTGCCCTCTTGGGTAGAAAATGAGCCTGTACTATTTTTCCTGCAGGATGTCATTTCACTTCATAGAACTGTGTAGCAAAGCAGTTGTTCAATATTTCTCTTAACTTCACCACGTAATCTGTGGTCCCGTATCTCATTTGCTGCACATCAACTAAATCCTTTTGTGGGTTAGGTACTTTTCCTCTTCCTGTTTTTATTTGCTTTTGTATTGTTCTAATTACCGCGGTATATGTGTGTTTCAAACCCAAGGCTGAGCCTGTCTTCCCAACATATATCCACAAGGTGAAACACACTGTTTCTGCTTCCCTGTTCCATAGAGAACAGAAGGACAGGCCCACTGGGAAGTCCATTATAGGCATGGCTAGAATGCAAGGCAGCAAAATCCCAGCCTTTTGCTTTCATTCTTCATTTTTCCCCCTGGCTACTTTACACTGCCCAGTGTAAAGTAGAAATGGCTACTTTAACTACTTTACAGTGTAATGGCTACTTCACTATCCTCAGTGGAAAAAGCAGGTATCAGCCTTACTTGTGAAAACCTCAAACAGTAATAATGAAGATAGAATGTTCTGGTGATGTTATGAATCCCTATGAACAGCTCTTCCTAGTTCTCCATCCAGCAGAACCAAAACAGAAGATCCAACAGTAACCAAAATAATCAAGCTGATGAATTAAAATGAAATCTACGGTAATTTCCACTGGTGTTTTACAGATGACACAATCGAAGAAACATCTTTAGCTACCTTCCGCTAACACAGGCCATAGCATTTTACCAGTTGCTGTACGAAGCCCAGGTCTTCTGGTTGGCTAGAACATGTTTTTAGACATTATTGTTATTGTTACTATTATCTCATGCTGCTAAGGTGGCCAAGCCAACTCAAGCCATGGCATTCCCAGTGACAGAATTCAGCACCCATTGACTTTGGGCAAGTTTGGTTAATGGACTTGACCTCACTGTTCCGCCCTTTCTCAGGCCTGCAGTTTAGCATATCCTCCACACTGCTGGCCACGCAGGAGGTGTCAGCTGTACATGAATGATTTGGGAGCACTGGAAACAATGGGACAGATCACAACATTTTTGTGGCAAGATAAAATGTGATGAGGAAATAATTAGTTTCTGCTGACAATGCCCATTCTTTCTGGCAGCAAGATACGCTGCTGAGAAGTTCAGGTTTAACAAAGCACAAGCCAGGAACTGAGAGAGGCTGGAGAACACCTAAAAAGCTCTAGGAAAGCAGGTGAGGATTAGACATCTGCTAACATTCTGGCCAAGCAGCTTCACAGAAAGGCAGGACATCTTCACTTCAAACTTTCAAAGAGTGGATCAACCAGCCCATCACTTGACAAATGGTTCTCATTGTCAGAGATTTTGCCTGAATGCTTCCATCTTTTCTTTAGCTTTTGGTGAGGTCTATTCAGTCTTCTTCTGTTAGGACAAAAATCTACCTTTCTAAATTAATCTGATGCATTAGTAATTTCTGTTTGTATACACATACATGCATAATTTCTGAAAATGTTTGGAATATGGATGGCATGGATCTTCCTAAAAATTCAGGATAAACAACTGGAACTCTGAATCTACAATCTAACTATATCAGGATATGCTAAAATATACAGTTCTACCTTCTCTGTCAAAAATCCAGCATAGCAAAAGCCCACTTGGTTTACAGAAAATAATGTCTGAATATTGACCCAGTGGCTAAATTCATGCTAGGTATCTGTGGTTTAACTGCAGATGAATACCAGAAAATGTTGGACCACATCATAGTGAGGTTTAGAGCCACTTACGTTCCATTGCAGGTTACAACACACAAGGGAACAGAAGATAGCTGGTGATACTACCTCAGAGTACAGCACAGGTTTTAGGCTACACCATCCATAGGAGCGCTAGAAAAAGGACTGCCAAATGAGGGGCAATTCAAGAGTATAAGTGCAGTGGAAAATGCTAGCTGGAAGAGTCATTTTGGAAATTATGAGTATAGTAGCTTGGCACCGCTTTGTAGAAGTTGAATGTAGGACGTGGTAATAGGGATGTATTCCACCAGCCCGGTAGCTGTAAAAGCTAGGAACCACAAAGGCTTTTAACAACTCTTTGTAAATGTCACAAGTTCCTATTTCAATCCTTTGGCACTTTTCTAAAAGATCATTGTGGGAGAATCATCACATGGCATAGTAACAAACTCTCCTGTTTGTACTAAAGAAAACTCACACTCATGAACTTGGCTTAACATTATGAAAAGAAGCCCAGCACATAAAAAAGTTGCCATGTTCTGACCTCAAAACAATGGCATAAATCCACTGTCACCTCTTGGAGAGAGTGGCATTATCTGGCATTGACCATCATGTGGCTGAGAGCAGAATCTGGCTCAATGTAGATTTTCCTTTGTAGCACTCATAGAATTATAGCATGCTTTGGGTTGGAAAGGACCTTTGAAGGTCATCTACTCCATAATGCTGAAACTGTGGTTCCACTGTAGTCCAGGAGCTGCACATGCAGGAGGGTGGATTGTGCTGACAGTGAAGGCCCAGTTAGTTCTCATAGCACGTGACAGCACATCCTGCCAGCATAGGACGTAAGGGTGGGACCCATCCTGACACTCAGGTAGTGGACACCTGTGAGACAAGCTGAGCACCCCAAGTACCAACCTCCTGAAAGCAAGCAGACACATTCACAATGATGGTTAAACAACTTGAATCTTCAGATTGACTCATCTGGGGCTGAGTTCTTAGACATTCTGGTGTCTGTGGATAGAACCTTACAGAATAAGGACCCTAAGCCATGTTTGAATGTCTTTGTTCCTGTCTTTACCAGTCTGTGGTAATCTTTACTCTGAGCTGAGACTAATCAAGTTCTTTTAACTTAGGACCCCCCAAGCTATCCTCATTCTGTTGGATGAATTATACTGTTGTGACATGTCTCGACCTGCTGTTCAACTCAGTTAGCTATCTAACCCATTTTACATTCCTGGCACTTCAAAACACAGACATTAGTTATGTATGCATGTGAGCCAACCCCAATGTACTCAGAAATGCAACACAAAATCCCATGGTAGTTTGAAAATCCACAGTACAGTCACTCAAACAGGAGGAAATGCAAATGTCACATTCAGAGGTATTGTCATATTCCAATATACTCCATACAAGTATCCCAAAAGCATGACTCAACACCCCAAAAGACATGTTTTAGA